TATCATTAAGTGTTGTACCTTATGATTCTTGACGAATATATCTTTTCTTTTTATGTACACTGAGAGCATCTGCACCAAAGATAAATTCTTTATGTGTCCACTCACACTTGGCCAATAAAGAATTCTGTTCTGTTCTGTTCTGTTCTATGCAGTGTCCCGTCATGTGATCTCCTTTTGCGACCTTCTGACAAGCAAAATCAATGGGGAAGCCAGATTCACTTAACAACCGTGTTACCAATTTAACAACTGCAGTAATTCACTTAATAAACGTGGCAAACAATACTCACTTAGAAAATTTCTCACTTAACAACATAAATTTTGGGTTCAATTATGGTTATAGGTTGAAGACTAACCAGTAAGACAAAGCACCAGTGTAAAAACAAAAAGGCACAAGAGTTTTACATGCTGGTCAGAAAAAGGAGAAGAAATTTCAGAAAGAAAGCATTTAAGGTAGACCGGGCTTAAGACAGAAACTATGATGCATATAAGTAATAGTATAGAAGAGTGCATAGTATTATAGGTAATTGTAGTAGAGTAATAAAGTGTAGTCTATTGAATAGTAATAGTATAATATTAACATTATTATAGTAATAGTGTAACTGTAAGTCACCCAAAATCATTTGGTTGAGATGGATAGTCATAGAAATTAAGCAAATAAATAAAATAAATAGTAATTGCATAATAATAGCATAGTAACTGTAATAGTATTTATTTATTTAAGAAAATGTATGTGGCCGTTAAGTGACTCAGGATGGCTAAGTTATCATATCTTTTCACACTATTATCATAGTCATGTACAGAGATAGCACTAGAAGAGAATTAGACAGAGAATGGAATAAAATAGTAGAACAAAGAATAGAATAAAAAATAGAATTAGAACAGAGAATAGAATAGAACAGAGGGTCAGTTTGGACCAATGGTTAAGGCATCAGGTTAGAAACCAGGAGACAGTGAGTTCTAATCCCAGCTTGGTGACTTTAAGCCAATCGCCAGGAGACCCTAGGTTCAAATCCTGCCTTAGCCATGAAAGCCAGTTGAGTGACTTTGGGCTAGTCACTATCTCTCAACCCAACCCACCTCACAAGGTTGTTATTGTTGTTGTTGTGGGGAAAATAAGTGGAGGAAGTTGTTTTGGCTAGGTTCACTGCCCTGAGTTATTTGTAAAAACGATAAAGATGGGAAACAAATCAAATAAATAATTAGAATATAGAAAGCATTTTCTTATCACATTTATATGTAAATAAAGCATCTCCCTATATTTATATTTATATTTCCCTTACAGAGAAATGTAAAGAAAAGACCTGCACAGGGCCCAAAGCGTTAGGATCAATTTATGGGACAAAATAATTCAGCTTTTATATTGTTTGGTTTTACTTGTACATAATGTAAAGTCACTCTGTGGGCAAAATGGGCAGCTTCTAAATCATAAAGAAATGTAGGGAGACTAGTATAGATCCATTTCAAACTATTTAGCTCTCATCAGCTAGCCATACCCTTGCTGGGATTTGAACTTGGGCTGCTTACATATTAGGCAGTTGTATTAACCTCTAAGCCACAAGTTCTCCCTTTATCAGCTGAGCCAGGGGAGAAATTGTTTTTCCCCCCCTCTTCTATCAAAGCATCTGGCCTGCCCAAATATTGGAGAGAGCATACTGCTTCCCTTTTCATTTCTTTTATGAGCAAAAATGTAACACAAAATGGCTTGTCGTGTAAGCAAATGCCTGGAAGGCTCCTGGAGCACCCGCAAGTCCCAGAATTATGTCCGTCATTTCAAAGTCCTAAAACATCTAGAAGGTGCCAAACTGAAGGACCATGAAATCTCTGGATAGTTTTCTAAACTGGTCCGATGCTGAGACGTTCATGTTTTAAGCACAAGGGAACTGACTACATCTTAGCTTGATTATGGCAATGCTCATTAACACTTGCTAATGTTTGACTGTAAACAACCTTGTAAACACATTCTGTTTTGCCCACTTTGCTCATTGTGGCATAGCATGGATCATCTGAAATGTCACTGCTGGAATTTCATTTTGTCTTCAGAAGAAGAAAAAACACCTCCTTATGAGTCATTTTCCTATCCAAGCCGTGCTCAGCTGCAAAAATCATGACATACTGGCACTGCTTACAAAGACATACTGGTAAAAACAAAAATATCCCAATTTGGAAAACAAATTACAAAGCAGAAACCAAGAAGGGGTACTTGGTGCCTTCTGAGCTTGGTTGTTTCCTTGCAGATGTTTCATTATCCAAATTAGGTAACATCATCAGTGCTATAGTAAGGAACCTTGAGCTACAAATATTCTCCTCTATGAGAAAACAGTAAAGAAATAGGAATGAAAGACAATTTGGAG